TTGGAAAACAACTTGGTGATATGCATGAAAATACTTAAAAGATCAAATACGTTTTGACCTAGTAATTTCACTTCTAAGAAGCCATAACAAAGGAATAATTTGAGATGAGCACAAATATTTCTGTACAAAGATATGTATTGAAGTTTTATTTATAATGTGAAAGTATGGAACCTTTATACAATCCAACAGAAGTAATAATAATTATCGTGAGTTACTAAGTCCTATTTTTATGTACCAGGCAGTGTGATTACTGCTGTGTATGGATTATCTCATTCGTTTCTTTCTAAATTCATATGATGTATAGTCAGTATTTATTTGTTAATTTCCCCACAGCTGTGTTGGTAATAGGCCAGATTTTCCTTGGTGGAACTCACCTTTCATCATGTGATTTAGGAGAATTGACCATATCTGTATCTCCTGGCCTAAGCCAGTTGATGATTCTACACCCCCAGTGATTGGTTAGGGATGTGCATGTCACCGTATTGGCTCAGACAGAGTAAATCCCACAACTTTTGATTACTGACTGAGGGAGAAAGACTCTTTTTTCCTTAACTCTCACTCTTTTTGCTCTGGCTCCCTTGCTCTTTCTCATTAATGCTCTCGCGCTCTTTCTTCTTTCTTTTTCTCCCTCCTTCCTCCAAACATTGCTAAGATTACCATCCTTTTCCCTGGTCAGATTTATTTTCTTCTTTGAATTTCCATTGCATTAAAAATGTACCTCTACCCTGGTATGAATTTCACTCTGCCATACATCATACGTTAACTCAAGTAAATTTTTAACCTGTGGCCATTTGTCACTACTTGGGATGCCTTTCGGTGCCTAGGCTGCGTTTTCCTTAAAAAACTCTTAATATTTGAGAGATCAGAGTTTGTGGATTGTTATTGTTAAAAAAGACCCAAGACTCTACCATAACCTATTTAGGCTGAAAAATATAATAACCAAAACTTACACAGAAAATGACTTGTGTTTTTCACTGATTTCAGCAGGAAGAGTGAATGACTTGATAATTGTTCTCCTACTTGTTCTAATTAGGAAAATTTCCTGCTGGTGACAGCTTCAAAGCTAAAAGTTTCATGTCAAATGTAGAGGAAAGAACTAGATTGAATTTGTTTTTAAATTGGTAAATTAAAAATTTTTTATTAATTCTGAAACAATTTGTCATGTCTTATCCACTATCACTTTTTTCTTTACCATACTGAGAGCTGAGGGTAGAGAACTTAGAACGCATGTAGAACAATAACAGGTGGTGTGACTTCCTTGTCCAGGCAGACGTCTCTGAGAAGAGGAAAGCCTGGGATCAGAGTGGTCTTAGTCTCGCTCTATTCTCATATAAATTAAATTCAAAGGACCATTCCAGTTTTACGTCTTAAAAATATGAATGCCCTGAGTCTATTTCTATTTTGCATTACCACTTAACAAATATACACAGATTTCTAAGAAGCAATTTGCTTGTCTCACCTTCTCTCTTTCATGGTCTCTTCAGAGCCATATTTGCCACATGATCTTCCTAAAACACATATCTTATTGCACCACTTCCCAGTTTTATCATACTCCCATCGCCTTTAGGATAAAATCCAAATTTCATAGCATGGCAGTCAGGAGTCTTCTTGGTATGGCCTTACTTTACCACTAAAATTTCTCATACAACAGTCTCCGATAGTATCCTACTTTCAAATCGTGTGTACCTAAGTACTTGCCTTTCCTTGAAGGTGGCATGTTCTTTGCTTATGATGTTCCTTCTGCCAACTGTGGCCTTTTCCAGTTTCTTCTCTGGACAACTTCTAAAGTGAAAGTTCACAGATTCCATCTTTTTTAAGGAAGACTTTCCTGAACCTTCTCTATGTTTCTTCAGCACCTGACCTCGCCATTAACATAGTCCTTATCACGTTGGCAAATGGAAAGGAGGAGATAGACTTATTTTCCTCTCCCTAATGACTACTGCAATTGGGCATTCAGTAGGTGCTCAATGAATATTTGTTTAATGAACTAAGTTAATTGTCCAACTTTACTTTCCTTAGAGCATAGGGGTATAGTTATTACTATAGATATGCCACTGCCACAATAAGAAGACTAGAATGCATAGGAAATGATTGCCCCAAGCCGCTTATGATAATTATCCCAAGTCACTATGTTTGTACTCTTTATCTAGGGCATTAGGGTGAAGACATTTGAGAAGACATCTTTAAGAAAAGTTGCTAAGGCATTTGGATTAAGATGTTAAGGCATACTAAGGCATTTGGACTTTGTCCACGGGGTGGTATGGCCAGATTACTTGTTAGAGAAATCCTACTGATGTGTTGGTGAGGATGTAAACTGGAAGACAAAGCAAAATGGAGTCTTTTGTATTAAGTAGAATTGAATTTATTCTGATTTAATTGCAAATAGATAGTAAGGGAAACAAGAGGGATTAATAATGCCAGGTTTCTGGCTTGAGCATTTAGAATGAAAATTGTACTGTGCACTTAATTAACATCTCAGGACAAAGGGAAAAAAAGGAAAGAAGAAAGAAAATCATGGGCCAAAGATCTGATTTTGAATATTTTGAATTTAGATGTTTGTGGGAGATAAAAAATAGATATCCAGGAAAACTTTTTTTGGCAACATTTTGCAAATTAGTTTCAAATATTGGTAAATTCTTGGAGCTAACTATAAAAAGAAAAATAAGTAAAATGATTTTGAAAAAGTTTTAAGATCATGATAATGGTGGTCTCTATTTCATTTGGTGACCAGTAGAAATATCTTTTAGCCTGTCTTGTTTGTTTAGGTTGGTTTTATTGTGTGTGAAATATTTAAAGATGTAAGTGTTACATTAAAAAATTGAAGTATCAAGTCATATTGCAATGTTAATAATTTTTTTTTAGACTAATACTATTGGGAAAAATGAAGGTTTTGGTAAGGAAATGGTTGGCTTCATTTAATTTCATATACATCTTCAAATTTCATGACAATATGTAATAATGGTGGCAAACTATCAAATTGGGTATATTATGTTCATACTTAAATTTTAAAAATCATTCAGATTGGAAACCAGGATTTTATATTTTAAAATAAAAATATGTTCAAAAGAGCAGCTTGGCAGCACATCTCACTTTTTGCAAGAATATTTAAAATGCTCTTTATATGAACAAATTTAATCATATCTGACATGGAATAATAGATCCACTTCAGGGTGTATGTCATTTTCCTGTAAGAAGACAAATAGAAGGAGGCAGAAGTTCACTCTTGTTTTTTGATGTGGGTATTTTTGTGCTCTTTTTTATTCTGTCACATTGCATAAAATATTCTAGGTTGAAAAGTATTTCCCGCAGTAAGACTGGATTTTAGTCAATCTGAGGTAGAAATAAAAGCTGTGGGTATGTTAAGTTGAATTAACCACTTTAAGGAAAATATTTGCTTTGATATAATATTTAGGAATGGGATTTGTTTGAACAGTGTGGCTAACAGAGTTACTTATGTGATCTTGGGTGATTTCTATCTTATTTCTTTTCATGAGACCAATATTTGCACAAAATAAATAGGGAAATTATCCTTATACTAAAAAAGAACTAATTTTGTCTCTCGTTTTCTTCCTTCTCCTCAAGACAAATAAAAAAGAAAAAATGATCTGGTTAATCACTTTGGAAATCATGACATAGTTTCACAGTTACCTTTAAGCTGTGTCATGTTTGAAATCTCCTGTTCAAAGCTGGAAGTATGTGATAATGCAGCCTTTACATTTTGAGGAAAAACAAAATGAAGTATATGATTTATGCACCCCAAGATTCAGTAAGGGCTAAGAGAATACCATATGATTTAATAAATAATAGCATCACTGGGTAGATAAACATTTTTTCACTAAAATTATAAAATATCTATAAATGGCCTTAAAATATACCCTGCTTATATTTTAATTCAAATTTGAAAATTGTTGCCTTGTGTGGCAGATGCTGTTGATGATCTGCCTATAACCTCTGTCTCTTAGCATTTCCCAAATAAACTCACTTACTTGAATTTTTACCGCAGAGTTTGCCTGTGGGGCCACCTAAACTAAGATCCCTTCTTTCTTTCTCTCTAGAGTTATGTTAGAAAATGAGAGAGAATAGGGTGAATAAATAGATAAACAGGCCTCCAAAGAAAATTGTGGCTAAGATGTAAAAAGATAGTTTTCAGAATATTCATGTGGATTAGATACAAACAAAAAGGCAGAAATAAAATATTTGAGATCTGTCTTTAGTCTATAATTTGAGAAAATCAAAAATATAGGTGTGGCTTTACCAATGGGCTGTATCAAAGTTATGGAGGGAGGCAGAACAAGAGTCAGATATGTTTCCATATTTTTGCCAAAAAAAGAAAAAAAGCAGTTTTTGCTGTTTGGCAAGAAGAGATACTATACTGTGAATTTTTTTGCTACTATTCGAATTTGTGTCAGAGGTACATTCGCAATGACTGAATTAAGGTAAGGCATAATTGTGCTTTCGCATCTGGAAGGACTTTTTCCTCTTGTCTGTTCGCATAAAAACGTAAAAATCTTAACGAGCTGCTATGTCTGTTCTAGTGACAATGTGAGAATGATTAGAAGGATAAGCTACCTAAATGCTTCTCCATAGCAGTCGAAGTGGAATCAAAGTTAAAATAGATCAGTGCTTTCTAGAATTCTGTTTTACCTTCTTAATCAGGGACAGAGTGGGCACTTGGTTAGTCTAAATAAGTAAAGGAGATGGCTGGGGCTAGCTGTTGTACAGCCTGAGGGAGAAAGGTGTATGCAGTCAAACAACCATCACTGTGTGTTGATAGTAACATAACCCTGAGTTAAAACATTTAACTTGTTATCTAGCAGTCTTGCTATTTGCCCTTCTAGCAATCTGTTACTCTACCTTTTCAAGAAAAATTCCATGCTTTACCATTGTTTTCCTATGATTAGGTAACTTTCACAAGAAACGTAATTAAAATTAAAATTAAAACACACGTAAATGTAATTATTGATTAATTCTACTAAGTCCAATTTTAATTTTATTTTTAGTTCTATGTGATTGCATCTGATGTACATAGGAGAGAAAGTGACTGAAGGAGAACTCAGATAGCAGCTGCATGACTGAAACTGTCCAAAGTCAAGTGTCAGTACAGTCTTTCAACTATATTTGAGTATACCCAGGTAAGAATACGTGGCTGTTTGTTTATATACTTTCCACAATTTTGAAAAAAGATTTGAAAAGATGTTTTTGTTTTGTAGCACATATTAAAAAAGATATAAAATGCTAAAATACATAAAAACAAAATAAAATTAAAATAATGAAAGAACCTGTTTTCTAAAAATAACTTCTGTTACCATTTTGTTCTATATCATTTGATTTTTGTTTTGTTGGTTTTTCCCTTTAAACAAAGTTGGAATAATATTATGTGTATTCTTTATTGAATTTCTTTATTATTTTTGTGGCAAATCTATTTTGTTCTATTTGAGAATATGAATTAATGTTTTGAATTTTCCATTGTATTTGTTAATATAAACTTAAATGATTTAAAAATATTTTTTAGATTGTGTTTATTATTCAGAGAATATCCTTATAGATAAATTGAGATATACATCTCTCATTTTTGCATTAGTAGAGTTACTAAAATTAGCATCACTGGCTCAATGGCTAAAATAATTTAAAAGCTTTTTACTCTTATTGCTGAATTTACCTCCAGAAGTTGGTAATGAGTTACAGTTTTCATTAGCCATTTTTGAAAATGTTTGTTTACCCATTGACATATATTTTCATTCAAAGAATTTCCCTAACAAAACCTAGCTTGTGTTGAAGAAAAAATTCAAAATTACGTTAAGATTCTAAATTTTGGTTGCAAGTAGTAGCATCCTCTACTCACTAAGCCTAGAAGAAAATTGAACATTATATATGCATAATCTTTCCATACTATCTAAAAATACATTATTTATAATGATAGCAAGTATACATTTATTTAATTAATATTTATTTAAAACTTATTATTGCACTAAGCCTAAGCACTGTGATTATTTGAGCAATGGTGGTGGTGATGGGAGACCTTAGGGACAGGAAGGTACAGAAATAGTTTCTTGCCTCTCCTAGTTTTCAATAAAATGGCAAGATAAGAAACATATTTTAGTTCCTTAGGTACAGGGAGGATGTACTAAGTGCCAAGATAGAAGTAAAAGTAAAGGGCAATTGCTGATGATAATACTTTCAGCTTGGGAATTGAAGAACACTTTACAAATGAGAGACCAGTTGAGTTGTGCTTTCAGGGTAGGTAGAACTTCGGCAGGTGAACATTTAAATAGAGGGCCAAGTTGGAGCAAAGATATAGAGCTGAGAAAGCACAGGGGATATTCAGGAAATTGGAAAGATAGGGTAGATATATCAGAGTAATGGGAAATATGTTCTGTGATTTGGGTTCCTATACTTAGGCATTTATATTTCATCATTATATGATGAGGGACAATTGCGAGGGAATACAATGAGCCATGCTGCCCTTTAAGAAGCTTAGTCTAGAAGTGATATGTGTGTTAGACCAGTGAAGAGAGCAAACCCAAAGGAAGGAAGAATAGTTTGTAGGCTTTTCCTTTCATTTTCATCAGCATCTGTTAAACACTTGCTATTTGCCAGGCACTATGGTAGGAACTGAGAAAAGAAGATGAAGTCATAATCTTTACTCCTGAGGAGCTTATAGTGTAGTGGATGAGACATACATGACAAACAAATGAATCGAATACACCATGACAGTGTGTAATGATTGAATCATATTCAAGGAAAGACTAGTTAGTAACTAATTATGTTGAGATGCAGGTACTGGGTTATCAACTGATGAGGTTTTCCCAGAGACATTGAGTCTGAACAAGGTTGCCCAAGAAGCAACGTTTCTAACGCTGCAAAAATTCAAACAGGAAGCAATGGAAGCTTTATCTAGGGTAAGAGTAGTGTAAATAAAAAACAAAGCAGGGCTAGAAGTGGTGGGAGGTTAAGGAGAGGGTCTTGTATCTTAGGCAAGAGCAGCATGTTGATGGCATTAACAAAAATGAGGAAAATATGGCAAAAGTGGGATTTATTTTTCTTTTAAAGGGTTGCTTTAATCACTAGCACCAATTTCTTTTCTTTTTTGCTGGGGAAAATCGCCCTGAGCTAACATCTGTTGCCAGCCTTCCTCTTTTTTTTTCCCTCCCTAAAGCCCCAGCACATAGTTGTATATTCTAGTTGTCAGTCCTTCTGGTTCTTCTCTGTGAGCCGTTGCACAGCATGGCTAAGGACAGACGAGTAGTGTGGTTCCGCACCTGGGAACCAAACCCAGGTCACTGAAGTGGTGAGCAATCCAAAGTTTAACCACTAGGCCATCAGGGCTGGCTCAAAAGTGGGACTTTTGTGTTGGTAAAATAATAGGTTTCAGGGGCTGGCCTGGTGGCGTAGCGGTGAAGTTCATGCGCTCCGCTTTGGCGGCCCGGGGTTTGCTGGTTTGGATCCTGGGCGCAGACCTACACACTGCTCATCAAGCCATGCTGAGGCGGTGTCCCACATAGAGCAACTAGAAGGATGTGCAACTATGACATACAACTATCTACTGGGGCTTTGGGGAGTAAAAAGTTAAAAAGGTGGAAGATTGGCAACAGATGTTAGCTCAGGGCCAATCTTCCTCAAAAAAAAAATATATATATAATAGGTTTGGTTTTGAATACTGAGGATTTTTCTGTCCTCTTCTCTCACCATGTTTGCTCATAGCTTTGCTAGAGCACCTGCAGCATTTTAAAATTTCATTGCAATTCCTTATATAATTGAGGATTCTTTTATTTACTATTAAAAGTGGTTTGAGTTTTCCTTCAAATGAAAGTACATGTATAATAAGAGTAAAAACAAGTTACACCAAACAAAACATATGAAATATCAAGTAAAGACCTAATTTGATTCATAGCCACTGTATATATAATTTAGCTTTAGCCTTTCCAGCAGTCTCAAAAGCAGATATGTGTTCTTGCCCTAAGAGCTGAGATAAACTGAACATAAAAGTCTTAGTATAACGGACGGGAAAAGTGTCCTTACCACTTAGAGGTGCCTTAAATATTGCATTGTTGAAAGGAGAGGGAACTTTGTTAATAGATAGTTATAAGTAAGTAAGTTTATGGAAGTTCGGAATTCAGTTTCTCCAGGAAGTCTTTCCTGACTTTGGGTACCTGGATCAGGTCTTTCTCCCGTGTGCCCTATACCTTCACTCCATTTCCATTCCTCTGCTATACCACACGTTGTGGCCTAGTCTATCATTCCCTGAGACTATAAGATTCTTGAGGACTATGTCCTCATTTATCATTACAGACATAAATTTATATCTAAGTAAAACTCACCATAATGTTTGTTTTATACAGACGCTCCATAAATATTACTTACATGCAAAATTGAATTCTTTTCCATGGTTTCTCTTAATTATTGTTGACCTAGATGTTTTTGTGAGCTGCATATTAGTTTTCTGTTGCTGTGTGATAAATCACTTCAAAACTGAACAGCTTAAAACAGTGCTTGTATATTATCTTACAGTTTCTTTGGGCTACAAATCTGGGCACAGCTTAGCTAGTGCCTCTGGCTCTAGGTCTCTCACATTATTGCAGTTAAGCTGTCGGCATTTTGCTGAAAGGATACGGGTTAGCTCATGGTATCAGAAGGTAATCAGATGAAACAGTTCTCAGGAAAGACAGGAGCCAGAACTGTTCGGGGGATCTAGAAAGCAGGAAGTGGAGAGAGACTGTGAAGACTACTGCCATGGAGCTAAATCTGGACTAATAGGGTGTTTTAGTGCTTTTCTTCCCACATTCACAAAGGGAGTCTGCATGGCTGAGTTTGAATCATTCGCCCTCTGCCAGGAACCACGGCACTCAATTAACCATTCTCCGAGACTGCCTGCATGTGGAGAGGGTAGGTTACCAAAAGGAACTTCAAAGTTCTGCGACCAGGATGGGAGGAAGATGTGGAGCAAGTGAAAACAATGGATGTTTGCTAAAACCCTTCTTCAGAACTGTCATTCAAAAGCCATCAAATTGTAATGGCAATGAAATCTCAAATAATAAAGATTTTGCCAGTAAAATTAACATAGATAAAATAATAGTGTTGCTCAAGTTTTGATAGATATCTACTGTTATGAAAAATTTATTTGTTCTTTCTTTTACACATATGTTTATTAATTGCCGGTCCTGTGCCAATTGTTGTCTTTAGCAGTGAACATAAAATTGTAACAATAGAACTGGTTCTTGCTTTGCATGGAGTTTAGAGTCTAGTGAGACTTGAAATACAACAACTGATATATTACAATAAGTCTAGAATGGGACTTGTGTTAGTTTTCTAGAGCTACTGTAACAAAGAACTGCAAACTGGGTGGCTTTAAACAACAAAAATTCTAGATGCTAAAAGTCTGAAATCAAGGTGTCAGCAGGGTCATGCTCCCTCCAAGGACTCTTGGGGAGGATCCTTCATTGTTTCTTCCAGCTTCTGCTGGCTCTTGCTATTCCTTGACTTGTGACAGCATCACTCCAACCTCTGGTTTCATGGTCATATGGCCTTCTTCCCTGTGTGTTGCCGGGTGTGTCCTCTCCTCTCCTTATAAATATACCAATCATTGGATTTAGGGTCCATCCTAAATCCAGAATGACTTTATCTCAACATCCTGCACTGATTACATCTGTAAAGACCCTATTTCCAAGTAAGGTCACATTCTGAGGTTCTGAGTGAACATGAATTTTGGGGAGATGCTATTTAACCCAGTATAGGAGGGTGCATGATACCGTTGGTGTTCCTGGCAGGGTGCCTGGGCCTATGCTTGGGGTATGTTAGAGGAGGCTACCTAAAGGAAATGATGTCTAAGCTAGGGGTGAATGTTCAGTCAGAAGGAAAGGGATGTAGAGTGGACCCTCCCAGCATTTATGAGGAAGCATAGTTCACTGGAGGAAGTGAAAGTAGTTTGGTGCAGCTGGAGCCAAGAACCCAGGGCTGGGTAAGAGGTGAGGAGGAGACATGGTGGTGAAGAGGTTAAGGGGACAGATGATAAGGGAACATGTAAGGAATTTGACCTTGTCCTGAATGCAGTGGGGTGCCCCTGGGGGGAATTAAGCAGGTAAACAACCAAATCAGATTTATGTTTTACGAAATCCACATTGGGTGCCATGTGGAG